ATATACGGCTGATGTCGCAGATGGAGAGCTGCTCTTTGTGGAGTCGTCTCAGATACTGGCTTTTGTCAAAGCCATCAGACTGTATAATGAGGTATAACTTGTTAAAACTCAAGAAAGAGGAACACACAATAGATCTGTAAGGTCGCGGTGATTAACCTCTCTTCTAAACATTCAACACATTCTACATACGCTGCATTATAGTATAAATAATATCAAATATTGTTTTTTTTTATAACAACATTTTATTCTTATATACACATAATATTAAATTGCTTAGACAAGGAAAGAGAGGGGACAGGTAACACGGCAGCTGAAAGTGAAGCCACTTGTCACCGCTCGAAATTCTCCAATGGCGTAGCATCAGAAATTAGCTTGTACCTAGACGATAAAAAATATTTTTTAAAATGTTAACTAATATATCGTTTATTTTTGAGTAATGCATATACAATTTTGTATATTTTATAGTCTCACCTTTATAATATTAGAATATCTAAGCCGATAATGCAAAATTTATTTAACATCAGAGTGAACTGATCATCAAGACAATTATTTATTTATTAACGTGTGTATAATGTATAATTAAATAAAAAATTATGTAAATATATATGTTTTAAACGTGTATATACATATATACAGTATGATCGAAAAACAACGGCATCCTGTTTGTTTGGAAATAAATGGTCATGGATCCTTTGGATCGATGACATTCCCCATATAATTCTACATCTAAAATGACATAAAAACTATATAAAATAACATCGAAAAAAGACTGAGAGGAATGTCATTGACAGTCATTTACAAGCCAACAGGACGCCGTTTTTTTTTCGATCATACGGTATAATAATGAATCTAGCCAATCCCCTTCACACTTGCTTACGGATTTAATGAATAATGTAATTTTTAATACTTGTTACCTTCAGTCATAAGAATATCTTAATTTTCCGCAAAAAATAAACAATTATTCTAGAAGCTTTGCGTTATTTTATTTATTTATTTTTAAATTTTTATTAATTACTCATTGAAACAATTATTATACACCTAAACTAGCAAATTTTTTGAAAGGATATTTAAAAAAATATTGTAACAAATAGCCCACCACAAGTTTGTCTACCCCAGCAAATCTTAGCAGGTAAATTTAAGTTTTATGTAACAGCTATATATATAGATTTTTTATAACCAAAATTTTTCATGTTTTTTTTATAGTTTACAATTATTATTTTACATATTTGATAACAATACTTTATACATTTTTTTTACCTGTATAATATATAAAAAAAAATTATTGCAGAAATTGTATTTCTCTGGTTATAATACCCTACGCCACTGGAGAAATCCTGTCCGAGTAGCATTATTTATAGTTTCAAACATTAATTATAATATAGGATATTGAAAATACTACTAGGAATTAATTAGAGAATAGGTACATTAAAGAAATGCTAACTTCATGTTAAAAAATGGAAACAGACGCCACCTGGTGTCGCCTGGCAGTACTAGCTAAATTGAGGGGAATTGAAGGGGCGGGGCTTAAAAGAAGGAAAATTTAAAAAAAAAATATATTTTTATAAGTATCACTGACTTACTGTTTAAAGTTAATAAACATATTTTTTATTACTTTAATATAATTTAATGTATTAAAAAATATGTCTATTAACTTTACACAGCAAATCAATGATATTATTAAAGACTTAGTAAATAAATTACACATTAGTAAACAATATCATTTATTTTTTAGAGCTGCGATTTATATTACAATAATATTGAAATATATATTTTTTTTAACAATGAAAAAGAATATCCCGGAACCTGAAAAAGAAAGATGATCAATTAATGACTTAAATTAGTTCAAAATACATTTTGCAAATAACTAGTGAATTGGAAAGATAAACATACTATTAAAAAGACATTTTAGTAGTATGTTATCATCTATTTACTGATAATACATAAGTATATAATAGGTAAATAACATGCATAAGGCACTATGATACAACTACCTAGTAGTTGTATCATAACAGCACACTAATATCACAAAAATATGTGCTAATTTAAATTCCTTTAATGATCTAATGAAACACTATCTAGCCTCAATGCATGCCATTCCAAAGGCAAAAAAACTGTTATGCCATATAAATATAAGCTGAATAAAACATGAACCAAGCCAACGTGCATAAACAAGCAAAAACTACATCAAAAAATATTTTTATCAGATCATACCCTTGGATATATTATGTATTTTATATATCGCACATCCCATTCAAAAGTTTATTAACTCAAAATAGGGAATATAGAGAACATTGTCAAGAGAAGTAAAAGAAAATTTAAGTTAAAGCAATATGCTCCTTTTTGCATATTAATGGCCAAATAATATAATGTTGATTTAATAAAATTTTACTGGAATCCTTCTGAGGTATAAATCAGATTAAAAGGACATTGTTTTTGTAATAATTGTTTGTTTTGTAAACATTTTTTGAAGACAATACAGTTTTGAACGGGCTGTGCGATATAAACAAGGATCTTACTATTATTTGAGGTTAGAAAGTATTTAAATAATATAAAACATAATCAAAATCTAGGTACTTACGTGTTTTGATATTATTATCAAGAAATAATACGTTTAGTTAAACAGGTACGCTGTCAGGCAAGTTCTATCGGCGGGTCTTTGCCAGAGTTGAAATCTAAAAATACAAAAATACGTTTACATCTTAGTTGTATTTACGAATAAAGTATTTGTGTGTAATTTCTGACTTACCAGTTAACTGAATATTCGCATTAAATACATCCAAATGGTAATTTAATATTGTAAAAAAGCAAAATTGTTTTAAATCACTTGCCAGGACAACCCGGCCAGCTTCTTTGTTGACAAAATGGCCGCGGTATCATGATTTAAGCAATGTGAGTGACAAAGAAAGCCAATGTCTGGCAGATGTTGCTTTCTTTGTCGTTGGTCCTGGCACGTTTAAATTTGACTGTTGCCTGTTTTCCCATACAAGTGACACCCCCGTGGAATTAATAAAAATAGTTTGCTTTGGATGTGGTACAAGACATATTAAAAACATTTTACATATTTTTACTGCTATAATGAAAAAAATGTACATTTTATGACTACATAGCACAAGTTGTGTATCAACTTTTACCTGTAAAATGTAATTCCAATCATTTTTTTCTCGCTTCAGCCTTTGCAGCCATACGCCGAACATCTCACCATACTAAACAACACAATTTATAAATTTAAAACAAAACAATATTCACAAAAAACATAAAAATTCGCTTGGTGTCACCAGGGGGGTGACAGTGAAATAGGAAAATTGAAAACAGTCATTAGTGTCATTCCTGTCATCTCCTGACGACAAGTATGGCCGCCTAGACAAGGACAACAATATTTCTGTCTAACTATTGTCTAACTTCACAGTTTAGAATTGACAGATTTGTTCTAGAACCACAGTCTAGAACAAATCGAACAAATTTCGACGCCATTTTAATTCTCTCCGTTTAGTTTTGTTTTGTAAATTCAATTTGATATTTCTCCTGAAATTTATAAATATAAAGGTAATAAAGCATATAAAATATATATTACATGAAAAATCCTGGAGAAAACGACGTTTCTGCAGTACTAGGTATGTCCCATGTATATTAAAAATAGGTAGTAAATAAATACTATTTTCATGTTTTTTAGATGCAAGAAAATTTTGTTATATGTTTATGATCGGCGATTTTATTGAAAATGGAAACAATTTACAGCAAGGTAAGATCATTTTTAACTATAGCCAATATTAGTTATCTCCAGTATGTGCGATTTATTGTCAATAATACAATAAATCTGTCTGATACAATCTGATTGTTATCCGATTAAAAGTCTCTTTTTACTTCTTTTGGATTCATAAACCAGGTCTCTTTGGGAATAATGGAGCTTTTTTAATTAGTATATTTATATTTTATACCTATATTGATATTTTTACATTGTTAATTTTAGTATAAAAAATGTGTTTTTCTGTTTTCAGGTTTGGTTTGTTATGGTATAAGGCTCCCGTTTTCATGTCCCTGCCCCCGTTTTCTGTTTCTGAAGGCTGTAAATACGTGTATTTATTTACAGATTACTGTAAGTCATGCTTATACCTTACTAATTTACGTTAAAACTGCATATATTTAAGTAATTCTTTATTTTTTTTATATTTAGTCACGTTGTCTCACATTTCAAATAAATATGTTTGAATAAATTTTTATTTTGTTTTATTTATGATAAGAAAGAGTACAAAATACATTTAAACTGAAAGGGGTGCCCGCCATTGAATAACCGGAAACGGAAATAAAAATGAAGCCATCATGTCAACCTGTCAATTGAAAATTAGTTCTCCAGACGACAACGAAGGCTTTCGGTGGCGTATCGTGTTTCCACGATTTAACACAGAGTTGACACTTCTTTCTAGTTAATTATTTTATGGGTGTCACCTCGAAATCTTGTCACCAAAATATGGCCGCCGATCAAATTTTGGCCTCAAAAATTTTTCACTGGAGAATATGCGTGTTACCTGTCCCCTCTCTTTCCTTGTCTAAGTTAAATTGATTGGTACCATCCTTGTTTGTATAATCAAGGTTACCATGAAAGAATATTTCTTGAGGTTTCAAATTATTATTTTTTTTTATTATTTGTATATTTGTTTTTGTGCTTTTTTGTTTTGTGAATGCTTTGTCGATGAAGCTGTTGTGGCATTTTGTACAATAAAGCGTTTTTTTTTAACTAATAATTCACCATTTTGTCGTACATAAATGATTATGTCAAGAAAATTGGTCAATCTTTTAACAAAATGGTGAATGCGATTTTTATTCCGATTTTCAACAAGTAAATGTAATTAATAATTGATAGGTAATAGCTGTGGTAATAGCTAAAAATTGAAACGCCATATCAAATTATTATACGTGATTTTCTGGAATCCTCTATTTTCAGAAAATTACCTGAAATAAATATAGAAAATAATGGTTTTATTATTTTATTATAAAAAGTAAATTACACAAATAAAATTAAAAATATTATACTAAAAATATGATTTGAGACAAATCAGTTTAAAATGATATACATTATTATAGTCTATGTCTATATTAGTCTTGCCTTAAAAATAAAATGTCAGAAAGCATTAAGAAAACAGAAAATTGTAACAAACACCTCATTTCTAAATGAACCTTTAGTAAAGCAGCAGCTTTATACAGACATTAAAATAGAAAGCATATACTTAATGAATATAATTCATTAATCATAAATATAATTCATAATTCTGTAGGACATCTGGTTGCTTCGGCAAGATCTTTTATAAACTCTGGGAAACCACGAACGAGTACTGGATGATGAGGAACCAATTGGGCATCGCACATCACACCAAGTCTTATATGGTCGGCGTATTCGTTTATGCACAGGGATATACCTAGAAATTGGAGAAAATGGCGAATGCGTTAGAATATCTAAATTATTATAGGTTTGTTACCTATTTATTTTTAGTTTCAAAATAAAGTATTATATGATTAAAGGTAATGTAGATATTCAACTATCTGAAATGAGTATTATATTCATTTAATTAATTATTACTATTCTACTTAAAAAAATTCTACATTGTTATTTTTTGAGATATAAAATTTTTGTGCGAATTATTTCTAAAATATTATTTGTCTTCTAATAGGTTTTTCTCTTTTTCTAGGTTTACAGACTTTTTGTTTTAAAATACTTACAGACTTGTGTGAAATATTGAGGAATTTTATTGTATGTGTGAAATATTTATTTTTTGTGGTTTTAGCAAAGAGTAGGAACGTTCACCATTTTGTCATTCATGACATACAGGGTGTTTCAAAAAACATGTGCCATCTCTCGTGGGGAGATTCCTCACGTAAAAATAAGATTTATTTTTCATCTCAACAAGGGTCCGATTCTGCTTTGTTTCGTAGCTACAGGGTGTTAAAGTCTTAATATTTTTTCGATTTATTATTATTTTCTACCTCTAATAAAGTTCTTTTAGCGTTTCGAATGAAATTTTGAGTTTGGTTTGGTAATAAATATGCGACATATTTTAAAGCTAAAAAAGTGTCGACATATTTACCAGGGACGTGCATATGGATTATCACTGGAATATTTTTCCAAAAAAAGCATGTACGCCACTGACTTTTTTTTCTTTATTTAGCGAAATAGTGTAAGTAGTTTAATGCCGATTAATAGTTGTCTCTTGATATTTTGTCGATTTTGGCCTACTTGATGAGATAAACTCAATTTTAGTAATTTGCCTTGATCCAAGTCTAATAGCAATAACCTTTAAAAAATTTAATATCTTTAACTTGCGAAACCTTTAAATAAGATTAATAATCAAAAAATATGAAAAAAAGTTCCTTTAAACATGGCTATAGAAATGCATAGTTTTAGAGTTACAGGATGTTAAAACTTTTTAAAATTAAGTTTTTTGTAATGATCTTAATTACTATTACTTTTTTATTTGAAATTGCTGTAGGCTGGACTAATAGTAATAATAACTAATAGCAATAATATTTAATAATAAATTAGGTAAAATATGTAATTTATTAATTTAATTTTAATCATTGTGATTAATAAAATTGCGTTTATCTCATCAAGGAGGCCGAATTCGACAAAATATCAAGAGATAACTTTTAATTGGCATTAAACAGCCTACACAATTTTGATGTCAAAAGAAAAAAGTCAGTAGTGCACATGTTTTTTTTTTAAATATTCCAGTGATAACCCATATGCACGTCCTTGAGGAATTTATCGACACTTTTTTAGCATTAAAATATGTAGCACATACAGGGTGACAATTTGAAAACGAACAGTATTTAATATAATCTCTACCGATAATAGTATGAAAATTTGGCGAGAAATACGTCAATTTACATATCAAGGAGGACAATTTTTGAGGTATTTGTTGTCGTGTTACTTTCAACCATTTGACCCCCAGGGCACCAACCCCTAAAATTTGAAATGGCAACCCCTATTTCTTTTTACATTTTTGTGTTCCTTATAAAATTCTCAAAAATATGATGCAGTTTATGTAGAATTCTATAAGAAACACAATAATGGTAAAAGAAATAGGGGTTGCTATTTAAAATTTTAGGGGTAGTTGCCCTGGGGGTCAAGGGATTGAAAGTAACACGACACCAAATGCCTCAAAAATTGTCCCCCTTGATATGTAAATTGACGTGTTTCGCCAAATGTTCATACTATGATCGGTAGAGGCAATATTAAATACTGTTCTTTTTTAAATTGTCACCCTGTATAGTAACTTTTACTCTCACAATTTCCGAGTTCACATGGTACGGGTCCGCAACAATATGAAAAATAAATCTTATTTTTACATGAGAAATCTCCCAACGAGAGATGGCACATGTTTTTTGAAACGCCCTGTATAGTTATAAAAATTTAATTTAGTTAAAATAAAACACTGAATCAACAGTTCAAAGAGTTTATATCTCCCTATAGTCGGACGCAACAAAAAGAAAAAAAAAAGATATGAAGTAACATAATGAGAAAAATAAAGATGTTTTAGTGTTCTCATTCTAGCCAAATATGAAACTAATTTTTTTTTCTATAACCCTAGTAGGTTTTTTTTCTGTATAAAAATTATTCTTACTCGTATTAGCTTGTGGAGGCCTCCAATAAATCGCACTGACCACTTCCTGTCCCCAAAGGGTTCTCTGTGTGACGTTTGGATACTTATTCGTCACCTCCGTCACAGTAACCACGTATTTTCTTGACAGGTATTTCAAGTAAATACTCACGACCGTAGATGGCAAGAACTTAGTCAAAATTCCGTATTTGGTTTGGAACAGAGTCAAAAGATGAGACAGACCTTGTCTTTCAATCGACGACTTAAACCTAATCTCTAAATCCTTTAGGTTCTGAAGCTGCGTCTTGTCTGACTGTAGTTCGACTAAGGGCAAATTAAGACATATCATTCCGCTGACGGAATCACGAGATTTAATATTTGGACCGGTGGCAAAGAGGTATTGTGAGTTGATGTTTCTCATAGTGATAGGAAGTTCGCTTGGAATTGTGTCATTCGTTTGACCAAAGTACTTGGATATACCCATCGCGCAAGCTGATAAAGTAACTTCCGTTTCAGACACACCAAGTTTTTGGGCAGTGTTTTTTACCAATTCCATTTTGACAGGATCACTCCAAGCTACTGCTTTGCGGCCGCAAAGCGTAATAGTTTGGAGCGATTCTTCTTGCAGTAGGAGATCTTGAACGATGGTTCTCGGCGCGAGAAAAACGATCTTAAACATTTCAAGAACCTCCTTTAGTGAATTATACAGTAACGGGACATAAGTGAACAGTATGCCGACAATTGTTCGAGGATATGGACAATATTTTAGCGTAAAACAAGAATATAACGCTACAGATTCAGCATATATCATAATTGGTAAACGAATTGGTAGGAAAACCATCAAAAACCAAACATTTTGAAAACCAACTGCTAGTAAGTTCTTGGGACTTACAGATTTCACAATCGACCAGAAGAAGTTTGAACTCGTGACTCCTCTCTTATGGCTTTCATTACAACTAGTCAACACGAAGTATCTTATTTTAGAAAAAACATCAGGCTTGATAACTCTGAATCCTTTCTTGCATTCTTTAATAATGGATATGGAGGTTAGAACCACTATGGCAAGAAATTGGGTTATGGTGGGAGTTTCTTTGAGTAACTCGGGTTTTTCTAGAGGCTCGTAGGTAGAGACGAATTCGTTCCAGTAGTTGGAAATTTCTTCAGTCAGTTTCTCCTTTAAAGTTGTTAGGGCTACCGGTTTCTTTAGGACGTCAACGATGGGACTTTTCGAACCTAGAACGCTAGAACAAAAATATTTATTTGAAATATATCGTTTATTTATTGGGATGATTACTATATTTAATAGAAAATATAAGTTGTAATCATCTGGGCGTTTATATATTTTCATCTAGTTCGTTGTTTGGCATACCACGAACTGCCACTGTTGACAACTCTCCGGACAAAGCCTTTGGTTTGAAGGTTTGTTTTTCTAGGATAATACTGTTTTAGTACCAGGTGGTAGGATAACTCGTTCGTGAAGAAACACACAGATTAATAATGACGAATACGTTTAAAGCAAATTAAAATACAGAGTGGTCCGAACTATATTCGGGAAACCTCGGTAGCATATTCTGCAGATAAAAATAAGTAAAAAGTTTGTATAAATGTGGGTCCTAAAAATGCTTCATTTCTTAGGTACAGGTGTAGAATTTTCATCTTTATTTCTATTTTTCCAAGTAATTTCTGAACTAACATCGATATTTTGATGAAAATTAGTGTCTAGGAGTTTGTTGACATGAAAATTTTATTTTGATACCAATATGACTCCTACTTGTAGAGGGCGTTACCTACATATCTTTTAATTGGTTCCCGTATAACCAAACAGTATAGAACTTCTATCGAGCCTATATTAAAATCTTTAGTCGATAAAGGCAGCATTATAAGGTACAGCGACGATACGTGTTTTAATACAGTCTAGCCTGTATTGAATAAAGTTGGCCTGTATTGATACTTTACCGCCACTGTACATTCTGGATTTAGATTGAATAAAGTTAATTTGTCGATCCGTTATCGTACCGATATACATACTGACGGCGTCCTTTACAAAATATGTATTAAAATCTATCCTATAGTTTTTCTTATTGTTACCTGAATTAGAAAAGTTATGTTTAAGTAAATTCTTAAACATATCCTTTGTAGTATTAATATTCCAAATATTAATATAAATATTCTAATGGCATAAAATACTACAAACGATATTTTTCTAATTCAGGTAACACTAAGAAAAAATGTTTAGATCTATTTTAATACATATTTTGGAAGACGCCTATCAAACCTATAGGTTAGATAAGATTTATATTGGGGCGATTTAAGTAAAATTATTGAAAATTTGATTACTCTTTTATTATATTACTTACAAATTTGTGTATACACTACTGTTTTCATCACTTTTAAAACTTTCATCAAGTCTTGTAACTTCATCATGAGAAAATTTCATCTTGTTACTTATCGTTACCAATGTGACCATGTGACCATCAGTACCGTTATTATAATTACTCCGCGGAAGTTTCTTCTATTGCTTAGATATATTAAGTACGACCTGCCCTTCAATAACTCAACTTGGGGAAAATACACAGATTTCAAATTTTAGATTTTTCTTTCGTTATGTTATAGTAGAATGTTGAAGAAACACGGAGAAGCACATTTGTATCTGAGATCTTAAAATTATTATAACCCCAGAAATACTGCACAAGCGGAATATCATTATAGATATATAAAATACATGAAGTTGTAAAGGTTCAGCGTATATTTTCTATGTATAACTATACAAATTTGTATAGAGTTAATAAAGGATAAGTAAAGTTTTCGTAACAGTGAATACTGTCATCGAAAAATTGTATAGAATCTGTATTTATGCGTTATCGGAGAAATATACAGGCAGTGCTTTATGGTTGCTATAAAGATTAAATACAGAACATGTCTGTAAAGGAAATATTTGGATATTCTTTAAATTTGCTTTATATATGAAGTCTTTATCGAGACATCTTTATAGCAAAGAAACTAATCTATATAGGCTTGAGTTTACTATATCGCGTCACATCGCGTGGTTATACGGGTTTGAAAGGTAATAACTTTTCGTCCGTACCTGTATAAAACTAATGAGTAAAAAATATACATTTATGACGCTTTTTTTACCCAAAAAAGATCTCTTGGTAAAAATCGCTACGAGTAATGGTTCTCGAGATATTTGTAGTCGAAATTATGAATACCTGTCATCATTGACATAAATTAAACAATTCAATGTTGACTAACACTTATTAGACTGAAATAATGATTTTGAAATGTTTTTGTGGCAAAAGTTCAACAGAAATTGTTTTATCATAATATTTTCAAATTTAAAAAAATAAAAAGATTCCAAATTTGTCATTTTACTCAGTGAAATAACTATCCACTCAACATGTATATTTTTTGTCAATAACGATTATTTTTCTATTTTTACTTTTACTTTTATTTATTACCATACTATACTCTATATTTATTTTCATTAATAAAGTAAAAGAATGCATTATGGATAATTATTATTATTATTATTATTTATTTTTTTAATAATTATTATTATTTAAATGGGACACCCTGTACACGTTGGATGAAAAAACTATAGAGATAATCTAGACTTATGTTGGATGCTTTCTCCAAGATCATCATTAAAAGTGACAAATGTAGATGAGCAAACATCAAAAAAAGTATTTAAAAATATAATATGAGCAAACTTTTTTAAGGACGTAATTTGAGTTTAGCTCATAAATTTCTAATTCATAACTATGATTTTATATTAAAAAGAGCGTAAAATACTGAATACTACAATAGTTTATCACTGGTTGCAGCAACAATAGGCGGTAAACAGTTTCTTCCTGTAATTATCTTTTTGTTATCACGCGAGATAAATTTTATTAGTTTACATAACTGGTAATAAATAGATATAATATGATGTAGTGTAGGTTAAACATTAACGTAAAAAATATAGTTCTTTTAATTACAGTGGTAAGCCATAGGTTTGGTATTTTATGTGAGTACCCAGTAGGAAAAAGTAGGGATTTTAAAAAAATTATATATCTGTGATTTGTGTAAATTGTGCATTCGTCATTTGTGTACTACCGTATGATCGAAAAAAAAACGGCATCAGCGATGGCTATGAAATATAGATGGGTGTCATTTTATATGTAAATTTATATGGGATCGTCATTTCCCAGCCAACTGGATGCCGTTTTTTTTCGATCATACATTTTAACTATCATCTTTAAATATGTTTTAAAAACCAAGCCGTTCATTATGGTGATGTTGCTGTACCGATTTAGTATTGCTACTAGTTATAATTAAATTAATTCAATAGTGAGTATATAATCATTACGTCAATTAAATACAATCACTATAAATTGTTCTGCGATGAAGTGTTATTGTTCGCGGTTGTGTATAAAGGTGAATTTAATATTAAAAAAAAAACGAATGCATTCTATTTTCTGCATGTTTTATGTCGTTATTAGACCAAATGTATTATTAAAATAATAACTGCAATATCTTATGTAGTATTATTTTTCTATTTAACAGTCCTAGTATATATAATAGTTCGCAGAATATTTTTTAAAGGTTCCAGATGACACATTTTTATTAACATAACAGTGTAAGTATGCAGTAATTTACATATTTTAAAGCTTTAATTTTAAGTGGTTCTGAATATTTTAAATTACGCTTCATGCTGATGAAGTACTGTTCCTGTTTATTTACTATTTTATTTGCCTCTAATTTATTTATTTACTTGATGTACTTTCTGTGCTGTTGTTTCTGAATTTTTTTAGAAAACGGTGAGTTACTATCACTAGGTTAGTTTTTAATATTGTTATATGATTAGTTTTAATAATTTTAATATAATATGAGAACAGTAAAAGATTAAAATGATCGAAATACGAGCTTGGAAAAATAGTATTAAAATACAATTTCTGGACTAATTTTTGGTTTAAATTGGAATAGGATCTGAACCATATACATTTATCAACATATCTATTCAAAAAAGTCATCTAGGTGTTTCGTCACTAAGTATATAAGAAAATCTACAAATAAAAAGAGTTATTTTTGTAAACACTGCTGCATCCAACGGAGACTAACTTATCTAGTTATACAATGTGTTATACGTTATACTCTAAAATAAATCCAATGGAATGTACGCCCCCCGTTATGTTATCAGTATACAGGGTCGCTTTTATGTATGGAAACGGTCGATTATTAGGTAAAATATACAAGGTACCGCAAAAAGTTAAATACAAAAATTATAGTGTTTTTAAATGTCTATTGGCGAGTAATAAATTTATGTATACAGGGTCGGTCATAAAGTCGTGGCACATCAAAGTTAAATTTTTTTAAATAGAACTCCCTGTATATTATTACATACTTCAATTCTTCCTTCAATTCTAAGCAAAAATCGAAATACACATAATCAACCAACCATTTCGAAATACACATATTCAAACCAACCGTTTCCGAGTTATTGACTTTTGAACATATCACGTAAACAATTTGATTTAATTAATATCGATATGTTCAATTTCATTTAATGTTGTCATTCTGCCGAAACTGTGATAGTGTTGTAATGGGTTGTGAGGTCATAAAGTTGTAGCGCATTAAACTTTTTTTTTAAAATGAAACCCCCTGTATATTATTGCATATTTCAATTCTTACTTCAATTCTAAGCAATAATCGTAATACACAATGTACATAAATTGAAGAATTGAAATGTTAAACTTCAATTTTGAAATTTCCAGACTTGATAATAATCTTATTTTATACATCTATAAATACTAACTTGAAACTAATGTCAAATAGTATTAACTAACACAGTTTCGACAGAATGGCATCGTTAAATAAAACTGAACATATCGAAATTAATTAAATCAAATTGTTTAAGTGATATGTTCAAAAGTCAATAACTCGGAAACGGTTGGTTTGAGGTACATTATGTTGTTTCAATTTCTGCTTAGAATTGAAGGAAGAATTGAAATATGCAATAATATACAGGAGGTTCCACTTAAAAAAATATAACTTTGATGTGCCTACGACTTTATGACCAACCCTGTATACATGAATTTATTACTCGCTAATAGATATTTAAAAATCCTATAGCTTTTGTATTTAACTTTTTGCAGTACCATTACGATTATTAGGTAAAATATATATACATACTTATATTTTACCTAATAATCGACCGTTTTCATACATAACAGCGACCCTGTATATTACTAGAATAACAAGAAAATCTACAGGAAGTGAAAACTACGTATCAGAATTTACCAATTAGTTATACAGTGTTGTCTTTACAAAAGGAAATTTTTTCTTCGTATACCGTATACTTATAAATGCCGTTTTTACTTTCCATATCTCCATACAGTTTTAAAGAAAATTAAAAAAAAACACGAAGTTATGGTTGACTTTTTCCTAAAACTCGACAGGTGTTTCTATGGTAATATTATTTCGTTTTCATTCTTCGGTTGATTATTATTGATAGAAATTTAATTACCATCATATTCTTTGCTTTTTTAAAATGTTAAAGTAGTACACGATTCATCCAGTTCCAGGGCCGGACTTAGCGAAGTTGCCGCCCCAGGCCAAAAAAAATTGCCGCCCCTTAACATGTTTTTTAATTAAAAAAATTACGGATATAAAAACATTTATTTGAATACAGGACCAACAACAGAATAGGCCGACAGAACAGATCAACACAGAACATAAAATAAATATTAAAATATTCATATAAAATGACAATAAACGAACAACAAAACTATAAGGTTTGCTTATATGCCTATAAAGGTTTCCTACGTACTTTTTTGTTCACCAAATTATCAATTACTTAATCGTAATGGATAGTTTTTAAAAGATCGGACTCAATATGTAAAACTGCCAAATGATTTAGACGTTCTGTTTCCATAGTGGACCGTAAATAAGTTTTAATAAGTTTCAATGCGGAAAACGAGCGTTCAGCAGAACAGTTAGTAATAAAAGTACATGTGAAGATTCTTAATCCTATGAAAGTATTTGGAAACAGGTCTTGAGCGTTTTTTTCATAAATTACTTTAAGAAGCTCTCTAGCAGATGATTTCGCGGACTTAATGCATTTTATAAATTCACGTAAATGTATTAATTGATTAGGTATTGACTCATCTAAATCATTTGGATAACAGGTTATTAAATGTCTGGACTTATCGGTAATGTCGTCAATACTTAAAGTAGATAAATCACTAAAGAAACCAAATTTGCTTGAAAAATTATTGTAGGCACTTTTCCTGTAGGAAAAATTTTAAGGATTAATTTATCAATAATAACATTAAATACATTTATCCTAAAATCGTCCCTAGCATTAAATAGAGTTTCATTATCACTGGTTTCAGCAAAATTGTCGTTTCCGTTTCACTTTTCTCTTTTTATCTGCCGCATATTCTTTCTCACCGAACAATTCTATGGCCCTTCTTTCATATTCCTCATGATTTAGTATTTTCTAGATTTCTAATTTCAGAAAAATATCTTTCCAATGAGCTATATAAATCTGCAGCAAGTTGTAGATCAATATCCACCATTTGAAGCTTTTTATTGACCGCATCTAATCTATTTAAAACATCTTTCCAAAATACCACCATAAAACCCATTTCTAGGCTTTTGAATTGTTTAAGGAGACTAGAAGCATATAACTGGGTTTTAGGCTTTTTGGTATCGTCTGCAGAAATTGACTCCAACGTGGATTTTATTTCATTGGAAGACAAAGATAGTGATTGGCAAGCTTCATTTCGTGCAGACCAACGTGTTTTTGATAAATGTTTTAATGTTTTTGAATTTATTTTTTTTATATTCGAGGTATTTATGTATTTATTAACTGGATGCGTGGCACAATGCAGTAAAAAATAACCCAAGCGAATTATATACCCAAGTAGCATTTTCACGACTTGCGACCACATGTTTACTAAACACAACGTTGGATTAGTTACAAAAAATAGTTAGCTCCCTACCTTAGGTATTAAAATAAATTTAAACGTTTTTATAACGTTGTGCCGACGTTGGACTTGTACTACAGCAAAGTAGAAGCTTCTGCGACGTCGAATAAACGTTGTCTTCTAACCTTTTTTTGCTTAAGTGATCTTTAGAACGTAGCTACAACATTGGACAATATAGAGTTTTCCGACGTCAGTTTCAGGACCTATTCCAACGTTATGCAAACGTCGTCTGTTTTACTAATTCCAACGTTGTTTAGATTTCCTTATTCTTACGTTGGTAGGACGTCGAGTCACTACCTTTTTGCAACTGTATTGAACCATAACCTTAAATCTTAAATTTTCACTTTATTGTTCTCTTCAGTCAGACAGTTCAGTGCTGCTTTTGTTTTTATAAAAAAAAAATAATTAAAATGGGACATAAGAAAGGTACATATAAAACTAAATTTAAATATACATCGACATATATTACCGATAGTTTATCCACTCCCTCGTTTATTTAGATTATAGAGGGCGGCACAAGCTAGACTCTAGGATGACTAAATTAGGCAATCTTGCGACTAGTATACTACCTGTTAAGGCCGAACTGCGACTTTATTAGACCAGTATGCGACTACTCGAACTACTCCATCTTAATCTCCAAAACAACAAAGTGCAAGCCGCCATGTTGTTAAATAAGAAAATGTTTCGTTTCTAAAATAGCAATTCCTGCTTTTTGAATACATTAACTTGAAATATTTGACCCTAAAAAACACGCGGAAACAATTTTTTCGACTGCGAATGAATTATTCTCATTTTACTAAAAAAAAAATTCAAGAAAATTTTTAAAACTTCTTTAATTTTAAGGCCCATTAGTATTTTTCAAAGTAGAAACAATACATTTATCAATAAAGTTGTTTGCGTTTAACTTTTTTGCCTTGGGTAACGAGTTACAGAGTCGGTTAAAGTGTTTCAATAATTATGATCTTCAAACATCCTCCACACTTAAATACTTTTGTTTTGTTTTCCTTCACTGCCATCTGACATATGTCTCTAACTAAACCATAAAAATAATATTTTTACTATAATTATCCCAATTTAGGATAAAACGCGACTTAGACGCGACTTAGATATTAGTTTTGTATTTCTGTGAATTAGGATTTTAAACAACGTTGCAGATTGTACTAAATTAGGCTTCTAGCCAACGTCGGTATCCAACGTCGTTTCGACCCAAAAATTATTCTCCAAACTAGTGCAGACTAGGGTCGGCACGAGGTTGTGCCGACGTTATGTATTTATTAACTGGATGCATGGCACAATGCAGTAAAAAATAACCCAAGCGAATTATATATATAAACAATAATAATAGTTAAGTAAATAAATATGTAATCGGCTAAGGCAATATCCGAAATATTTTATGAACAAATAAAAGTTAAAAAAAAAGATAAATATTTTGGTATGCTCAAAATTTTCCGCCCCTAAAAATCTGCCGCCCCAGGCCCGGGCCTAGTTGGCCTAGGCCTATGTCCGGCACTGTCCAGTTCGATGCTACGGAAAGGGTGATAATAGTTATCGGAAAATATGATACTTTATCAGCAAAAAATATAACGTTAATCAAAATTAATAATAACCATCTATCAAAGCATTATCAAAGGAAGAAATTGAAATTATATCACGATAGAAACGCGTTTTGATTTTTAGGACGTCTAACAAATTCAATTCAGGACGTTCAAAAATTCAACCATATTTTCATGCTTTCCTTTATTTTCTCTAAAACGGTATTGAAATCTGGAAACGTATAAATGGGATTACCATTTTAGAACATGCAAATTTTTTTATAAAGAATGCATTTTTCTCAAATTAGCAATAACAAAAAAGTTTTTGCTCTTTTAAACACAATCCGTGGATATACTGTAGATATACATTATACTTACGTAACAAATCATTATAATTTCTTTCATGTTTTACTTCAAGAGATTATTATTAAAGTAAGGTTCTCGAATAATTGTTAAGTAAATATATTTTCTATAATAAACAAATTAGATTTTATAAGGCAAGTTTATTAACTTAAATTTTCGAATTATTTCTTTTGTAGGCATTGGAAAATTATTAATGAAGTTATAAATCATTTCTTTACCTTGGAGATTGTCTGGTTGGAGGAATCAGTGGAAGAAGATCTCCAACATTGACTCCTTCACTTAACAATATATGATGGATACGGAACAAAATATAATGATTATCTTCCGATGACGGGATGATGATAACCTGCCATGGTGAGGCTTCGCTTGGTAAGTATTTAGTAACAATTTCACTCACGTACTCCTAAACATACAAAATTCATATAATGTAAGTTAATTTCTGTCCAAAAAATTCAAATTTAAAAATTACTAATAATTTTTTTGAACTAAAATTTGGAATTAATTGTGGATCTTTTTGTATTAGTATTCGATTTTTCCACTTGCCGAAAATGTAATTTGATTAAATAAAATATATGAAAACTTATTGTTAATATTTGGGAGTAATGGTTAAGTACAGGGTGTTCCAAGCTGTATTCCGGAAGTTCGGCAGCATATTTTGCAGATAAAAATAAGTAAAAAAGTTCGTATAAATCTCCTAAAATGCTTAGTTTTGGAGATACAGGGTAGAAGTTTCATATTTATTTCTATTTTATCCAAATAATTTCGGAAGTAACGTCAATAATTGGATGAAAATTGCTGTCCGGAAGTTTCTTGACATGAGAAATTTGATATAGATGTCAGTATGACTCCTATTTGTAGGGGGCGCCATCTACATGTGTTTTAATTGTTTTGAAGAGTACTAACCTTTCTTTTTTTTTAAATATATATTTCCCTGTTTTTTACGTGAAAAATGTCTCTTGGTAAAAATCACTACAAGCAACCGTTCTCAAGATATTTAGAATGGAAGTAGTCAATACATGTCATTATTGACAAAAATAACATGTCGAGAGAGAGAGAGAGAGAGATAGAGAGTAGATAGTTATTTGATTGAAATTCTAAGTTTGGGAACTTTTTATTATTTTATATTAATCCTAAATTTGTCTTCGAAAAAACAGTTTCTGTTGATAAAACAGTTTCTGTTGAACTTTTGGCACAAAAATATTTCAAATTTATGATTTCAGTCTAATAACTGTTTAGTGAACATAAACTAAAGTAATAATAGCAATAACTAAAAACAAAAAACTTAGTTAACAATAAACTAAATAACAATAACTAAATTGTTGCTATTGATAAATTCTATTCCACATATCTCGAGAACCATTACTAGTAGCGATTTTTACCAAATATATTTTTTTACGTAAAAAACGTCGTAAATGTATATTTTTTACTCAGTTGTTTTATATACAGGGTGGTCCGAACTGTTTTCCAGAAACTTCGGCAGCATATTCTGCATATAAAAATAAGTAAAAAAGTTCGTATAAATGTAGATCCTAAAATGCTTAGTTTCAGAGATACAGGGTGTAGAAGTTTCATTTTTATTTCGATTTTTTCTAAATAATTTCTGAAATAACGTCAATATTTGGATGAAAATTGGTGTCTGGGAGTTTTTTGACATGAGAAATTTGATTTTAATGTCAATATGACTCCAACTAGTAGAGTGTGCCACCTACATGTATTGTGTTTTAACTGTATTGAAGCCTAATAACTTTTTTTCCGTACCTGTATAAAACTACCGAGCGAAAAAATATACATCTCTGCGACTTTCTACGTAAAAAATATCTCTTTGTAAAAATCACTACGAGCAACCGTTCTGAAGATATTTAGAATGGAAAAAGTCAATACATGTCATTAATGACGAAAAATTAACACGTTAAGTAGATAGTTATTTCACTGAAATAATAAATTTGGGAAATTTTTATTTTTTTTTATTAATCATAAATTTTTCTGCAAACAATGATGATAAAACAGTTTCTGTTGAACTTTTGGCACAAAAACAAACTATTTAGTTAACATGTATTAATGTCAATGATAACAGGTATTGATAATTTCGATTCCAAATATCTCGAAAACCATTACCCGTAGCGATTTTTACCAAGAGATCTTTTTTTCGTAAAAAACACCGTAAATGTATATTTTTTTACTCAGTAGTTTTACACAGGTACAGACAAAAAGTTATTACTCTTCAAACCGGTCAAAAAATATGTAGGTGGCGCCCTCTACTAGTAGTAGTCATATTGACATCAAAATCAAATTTCTCATGTAAAAAAAACTCCCAGACACCAATTTTCATCCAAATATTGACGTTACTTCAGAAATTATTAGGAAAAAACCGAAAAAAAAATGAAAGTTCTACACCCTGTATCTCCGAAATTAAGCATTTAAGGGCATACATTTATACGAACTTTTTTGCTTATTTTTATCTGCAGAATATGCTGCCGAAGTTTCCGGAATACAATTCGGACCAGCCTGTAGATACGAATGAAAAGTTATTCCTTTTCAAACTATTTAAAATATATATAGGATTGTTTGGATTATTTTCAGGTTGGCGGTCAGTGACTCAAAAACTTATTTGTTTATGTCTCAATATTTCGTAAATCTTTATTTACTTCATCAGGAGATATACTACAAAGTCAAAAATTCTAACATAAGAAAGGATCAATTAAAATACACAAAAATTATACTTACAAAACTAAAAGTCAGTCGTATCTTTCAATATACACATTCATTACACCAATAATCTACTTTCAGTTATAAAATTTGACGGACAAAACAGACCTACACTGGTGTTTAAGTTACAATGAAACTGACAAAAAAAAAATATCAACAATTAGACAAAACTAACAAACAGTAAGATAAAATTGTTATAAATTTGGACAAAACAAAAAGAAAGAAAGAGGATATCAGTTCATTACTAGTTTTAGTTTAATGTTTTAACAAATTGCAATATATTGTATTTAACTGGTTTGTGTCGGACTTAAAATTAATAGATTCTTTATTTTTATTTATAAAACACATTTCCATGAATAAACGGCTTTTTATAATTTGATTCCTGATATATATATATATATATATATATATATATATATATATATATATATATATATATATATATATATGGCGCCTCTACAAGTAGAGTAGTCATCAGGAGTCAGTAAGATAAAATTGTTATAAATTTGGACAAAACAAAAAGAAAGAAAAGAGGATATCAGTTCATTACTAGTTTTATATATATATATATATATATATATATATATAATATATATAATATTTGTGTCGTATATATATAAAATATATTAGATTATATATATATATATATATACATTTATATAAATATATATTATATATATATATATATATATATATATATATATATATATATATATATATATATATATATATATATATATATATGGCGCCCTCTACAAGTAGAGTAGTCATCAGGAGTCATATTGACATCAAAATCAAATTTCTCATATCAAAAAAGTCCCAGACACCAAGTTTCATCCACATATTGATGATGTTACTTCAGAAATGATTTGGAAACAATTGAAATAAAAATGAAACCAACTACTGCTGAGTATCTCCGAAACTCAGCATTTTAGGATATACATTAATGCGAACTTTTTTACTTATTATTATCTGCAGAATATGATGCGGAAGTTTTCGGAATACAGTTCAGACCACCCTGTATATTCATAAACTTCTTGTATACCGTATGATCAAAAAAAATACGGGCGTCACAACGCCCAGTTGGCTTGCAAATGAACATCGATAATATTCGCTATATAATTTTACATATAAACGACAGCAATCTTCATTTCATAGCCATCGCTGACGCTGTTTTTTATTTTCGGTTATATTTTATTTTACCTGTATGTTATATTCAGTTACTGCTCGTCCTTTATAAGTGAATTTGGCAACACTGACGTGTTGTTCTAGATCGAATTTTCCACGTAACCAAGCATATATTCCGCATCTGGTGGTAAGAGATTGTTGCAGTCTTGGAAAAGCCAAGTTTCCTGATTTGTCACGTCTTCTTACTAATTCCTGTAAAATAATTACCGTCTAAGAATTTTCTTGATGAATATAAATGGATCAGTTTGGTTAAAACATTTGATTGAATGTTGAAAAAATAATTTCATATGAGAGAAAAACTGGAGAGTATGGTATTTTAAAAATTAATAAATAAAATGTTTGTTGCTATGCTGGTAGAAATAGTAAATTACAAACCTGTAAGTGTCTTTTAATTGCTTCAGGATTCTCTTTTCCTCTGACTGACAGCAATACTGCAATTATACCTTGATTTCGATGCGTGTCTAAAATGGTTCTGATTGTCGAGTATGTGACAAACTCCACGTCGGGATGCATAAACGATATGCAACTTAACCATATTGCTTTGAAGAGTTGTAAACCTGAAACAACAATCTATTATAAATAGGATTTATAATGTCACGTTATAATATCATCGTTTATTTGTTTGATTTTCGTATTCAGTTTTAATTCAAATGAATTATCTATACTAATATATAAAATCCTTAAGTGACTGACATAGGTACTGATTAATCACGATCCTACTCGGATCACTCAACGTAAGAAGCTGGGCATTGCTAGCGCCTATTTTCATAGATATTCCAGCTGATTTAAATATACAAGGTGTCCCAGAAATAAGTGCAAGTATTTTAACTGGTAGTATAATTCAACCTCGAAACACGCCGATGAGGTTTTTTTCGCGAAAAAAAAATTTTGAAAATTCGGAATTAATTGAAATTTTTTTTCCAGAAAAAATCCAGTGGTTCTCAAAATTTTAGCAAAAAATTATTTTTTTAAAATTTTCGAAGTAAAATAACTCCGTTATTTTGGGACTTATTTGAAAAACCATAAAGAGAAAATATGTTCTTTTATAGAGATGTACCACCCCTTAAAATACTTGCACTTATTTCTGGGACATCCTGTATATTTATATCCAAAACTGACGTTTATATTCACCAATTCTCTGTTTTGTAATGATTATTTTTAGGTTTGTTATTATAATTTTTTATAATTTGATGACACACGCCTCCAAATAAAGTCCGTTATTTAAGATAAGCCATATTTTTTTTTATCAGCAGAATAAAATTTATCAATATACAGGGTCTCCCAATATTCCGTGGATATAGAGCTACTGCGCATTTTTAGCATCAAAATAAGTTCGTTGAGCACAATTTATCGCTATATAAAAGTGCTTCGTTTGTCCGTTAGAGGGCACCGAATTTTAAAAAAATAAACTCATTTTTTGAGATGTTTTAAGAACCTTTATTCCGATTTGAATGAGATTTGAGGTGCCTATGTTTGCGCTTTAACATTTGACTTTCACAAAAATTAAGAAAAAGTACGGGAAGGGTGAAAACTACCTCCACCCTTAAGTAAATTTTAGTAGAAATATTTTCAACTACATCGACGACTGTTTTTTTTGCTTAAATGGTCCTTCTAGAATTTACTACATTTTTTGTCTAAACTAAAATGATATACGCAATATTAGCCTATAATCATTCTATTCACTCTACAACAAATTTCAAGCCTATTGTTATTAATGGTCATATATCAGCTGATGACCCTTTCGATATCGATATGGACCATTGAGTAATCTACGATCTCTGCTTAAAACTGCTTGACGTTTTAAAGCTGATTTTTGCAAAACGGACTAACTAGGGTGTAGAGGGTTCGATAAGGAGGGGTTTCTCAGATCTCAAATTCCAAAGAGGGTGAAAACGCCGCTCAAATATTACCAATATTTGTTATTTAAAAAACGGTTAGTCTTTCAGAAAAACGCTTGGATAAGTAAAATTTATTTGTTTTTTTTTTACATATATTCAAAATCATAAAGAAAAATCTAGTTTTATATTCAAAATTAAACGAAAAACTAATTCAAAGAAAAGAGACAGTTGCAAAGAATGTAAATAAAGAGTCTGATGATTCGGAGATTTTCCAAGAAAATCAAGATGTATATCCTAAGAAACACACAAGACAAAAGGTATATCAAATAAATTCTCCGAAACCTGTTAAAATAAAATCTATAAACAAAAGTCGTAAAACGGCAGAAACAGATCCTCATGGGAAAATTCACTTGAGCAATTTGAAACGTCCGTTTTTTTTCCACAATAAGGGGCCGTCCTCTGCCGGAAACACTGCGACCTGTGAGGCCTATTGGGTTTGTCCCCTTTCTATATCTGCACCCATTCTCCTATCCCTGTGCCCTGCACTAACTTATGCAGGTCCTTGATAGGATGGGAGCATAGTTCCTCCGGTTCTAGCCTAGCTTTCCCAAATAAAAAGTGTCGCTTGCTATCCAGAGCCTCGCAGTGACATATTATGTGCTCCGCTGTTTCAGGATCTTTATCGCAGAGTCTGCAGCAAAGACTTCCTTGATACAGATTGAGCTTGTTCAGGTAACACTTGACAGCCATATGTCCCGTCAAGAGGCCTGTTGTAATCCGCAATTTATTCCTGCTAAGCATTAGCAGTTCTTTGGTGGTTTTGGAGCTAGGTATTTTTTTAAAAAATCATACAGGGTGTTCCAAAAAGTTGGATAATTTCTTAACCACGATTCTGCTTAAACTGCTTGACGTAAAAAGCTTATTTTTGGCAAACGGATTTTTCGAAAGTCAAATTCCAACGAGATGAAACTACCCCTCAAATATTACCAAGTTATATAATAATATCGCCATATTGTTTTTCCTCATGCTGACATAAATGTGAGAAAATGTTATCCAGTTTGTATGTTAATGGGAATTCTTGCTTTGCTTTATCATCATCATTACAAATGATTAATTCGACGCGAACGAAGTCGCTGGTACACGCTAGTATTAAAAATAAAAATAAACTTAATATAAAAAAGTAATAATTTAACATTGTTAATAAATCAAAATTAAAATTATACATTTGATTCAATTAACTATTTAAATATCTTAAACGTTTTACAAGATCGACTACATTCAGAAATAAATAAGATTATACCACGATCTGAAAGAATAAACCGAGGCTTAATAAATTGCTTTAGGATCAGTATTCAAAACAATCAGTGGAAACGATGGCGAAAGATACAACACATTAATAAATAATCTACAAACCGATCAAAAGAATTTGGCAGAAAATATTTTGAAACAAAATTCTTTATCGCTCAGAGTGATAAATATAAATTTAATTCTACTGTTAAATTTTACATAACGAAAAACTTTTAGAATTTAAAATCAATCAAATTGAGAAAATAGTTCAAGGGGCAGTTTATAGAGAAAATTCGATGTTTATAAAAGACGCACTTATTCAATTAATAAATATCTATGAAATTATGGATAATATCCTACAAGATATCGAAAACTCTATTGCTTTCTCTAAGTCACGAATATTTCATTCCAATATTATGAAAACCGAAGATCTATTCAATGAACTAATTAATTAACGTTCAAAATATTGTCGGAATTGATGAAATGCCATTAAATGTTAGGTACATTAGAAAATATTCTCTTATACGAAAAATTAATAATCAAAAATCAATAAAAGTAAAACCACAATCTTTTTTCGGATTTTTATGGAAATATAGATTTATTACAGTCGGTTAATCTTAGTGTATATGGGCACTTATGGGACAATATAAACTTGGACGAATTGTATAGACTTAGATCGGAAATAAAAGATAATAAACCGCAGTTAGTTTTCGAAAAAGTGTCGGCAATTCAAAGTGCGGGGACAATCGGTATACTAAATGTCGGCATTTCTGGTCTTGGGTGCCGATTTTTGTGTGTACGAAGTACGAAGAGTACGGTCAACACGCTTAGTAAAATAAGATGTACTGAATAAAGACAGAAGGCAAGTATTTTTCCAAGCGCATCGAATCTAGAGTCAAATTAAGTGATCTTCTTATTTCTCTCTCCGACCTACTAGATTGCCATAGCGATTCACTCCTATACATGTAAACGCTGACTCAAGGTTTCGCTTGCCACCAGGGTATACATTCTTCTTTCCATCGCCTGTATTTACGTTGCCTTCGAGAAATGGAAAAAACCTACACCACAACAGAGGGAGGTTCCATTAGAAGATGTTCGACTACCCTACCCAAGCTGTGTATTCGAATCTTAGCGGGGAGGTGTTATACAACCCTTTTCCATTGAAACCACGTTAAAAGACTCTAATTCTCTTTTAGCTATCATAAACATTATTGTCTACTTGCTTTATTTTCAGTGTATTCCTAGTTAGTCAGAGCACTGTGTTCGAGCAGTTAACATGTATTTTCTATTTTTAAATTTAATTTCGTAACAAATAAGTTTTTAAAAACAGTATAAAAGTTAAGTAGGTAGTGCAAATATTTTTAGGGGTGGTATATTTCAACCCCAGAAATAAGAGTTTGTTTTTCGCGAAAAAAAATGTTGGGAATTTCGTATTTTCCGATTTTTTTAGCCGACCATACCAACAGGTATGGAGGCTATTAAGATCATAAATGACCTAAATACAAAATATTTTCATGGTGTCTGTCTGTCTCTACCCGTCTGTCCATCTGTAACACGATAATTCAAAAACCGTTAAACCGATTCTAACCAAATTTGGCACAAAAATACTGTGGCACCCGAGAATCTGGCCATTAGTTTTTGGTGGGGGTGGGGGTTGGTAAGGGGGTATGGGAGAGGGTTAAACATTTAAAAAAATAGTAACTCCAAAATTACAGTAGTTAGCGAAACGCGGTTTTCAATTTAAGATTAGGAATAATATTTGCAACAAAATTTGTAATAACATCAAAATCAGTCAAAGTCGCAGTTTTTGAGATAAAAAAAAATGGAAAAATTCCTTTACTTTGAAACTAAAAGAACTGCCTACCAACTTTTTATTTTATACGTGCCTCGCGGCGCCAATCTTTTTGTTAAGATTTTAGATTCCTAGTCAGAAAATATAATATCTTGATAAAGTGGCAATATAAGTAGGAGATTAAAATTGGAGGAACAAAAAATATATATACTTTTTTGTAAATTTTCAAAGTAAAATAACTTTTTTATTTTGGACTTGTTTGAAAAATGGGAAAGAGAAAATTTATATATTTTATTCAGGTCTACCAGCTCTAAAAATATTAATTTATTATATATTCCTTTTTAATACCTACCCTGTATATTTTAACTAAAAATCCAAATAATACAAGGTATTGTTTGAATAACGTTTTTTTTTAATATTTTAGTTTCATGAAAATTAACATTTTTTATGAATTAACAATGTGGGAATATTAGAGCTTGAAACACAAATAAACATAATTCCTAGTTATAATACAAAGCGTTGTCTGTACATAAAGCTGAATATTATTAACTAATTGTAATGTTTTCCATTAAAACAAAAACCTTTAATTTGTTATGAATAAAAACTGATTTTCGGAAAAAAACCTAAGTTTTATTAAACA